CTTCACTGTGGCCATTGGAGCAGGTGAGTTGGAGCTCGGCACTGCAGCAGACCCAGGGAGCCTTTGCCTGTGGCTTGGATGCAGGCATGTTAAGCTTGGCTCCTTGGGGGCTGCTCGGGCAGCTGCAGTGCCCCAGTGGGAGATGGAGAGAGCTGGGGCTGCAGCACCGACCTGTCCTTTGCAGATGGAGAGGTCTGCACCTGGGGAAAGGGAGCCAGGGGCCGCCTGGGAAGGAAGGACGAGGAGACCAGGATGCCCCGGCCGGTGCAGCTGGAGGAGATGCACCCGTACGTGGTGACCTCGGTCGCCTGCTGCCACGGGAACACGCTGCTGGCCGTAAAACGTGAGTGCAGTTCCTGCCGGGAGCAGCGGGCCAGGCGTGGCGGGCAGAGCACTGCTCGGCTCAGCTCACCAAAGCTGCAAGCCTGCCCGTGGCCTGGCAGTGTGCAGGGGTGGGGGCCGCCCAGGCTCTGCTGCTCGTGCTGTGATCACAGGACCTTGTGGCATCGTGACTCGTGATTCGGCCTCCCATTTTTACCCCTCTGGGGCTTTCCTGGCACCTGCAGCTGCTGCTGCCGCCCACGTCCTGTGTAGCTGGGGAAGAGAGATGGGACGTCCCAGACGGGGCGTGGAATCCCCCCAAGAGCTGGGAATCCCTCTCCTTTTCCCCCGCCATCCACTCTGAAGCTGGAGGGACCCGCGCGGGGCTCCGGCTCACTACCACTGGTTCCACTGAGTGGGCCCCCGCTTCTCACTGCATGTTGTGACTGCTACACGCCCCGCCCCGCCCCGCCCCGCCCCGCCATAACAGCACCAGCGCCAGCCAGCCAGCCCCAGGACGCAGGCAGGACAGAGCCTGGGAGGTCTGAGGCTCTTGTTGCCTCAGCAAGCAGTGGGCTGGTCAGGGTGAGGCTCACGGGAAGCTGCCAGCCATGATTATGGAGCCAAAAACAGCCACAGCTGGAGGCAGAGGGAGGGCTAATTGAAGCTGCCGGGATGGGGATGGTCTGAGGCGCCCTTTTGGCTGCCGGTCCCCTCGCTGCGGGTTGGACAGTTCCCTACCGATGGTTTGTGGTTCCCCTGCCCTGCTAAAGGCAGCATCGCCGTGTGGGCAGGAGCTGCCACAGCGCACCCAGCCCTTCCGGGGCTGAAGCATGCGGGAGAGAGCCAGGTCAGCCTGGAGGGGCAGCCCAATGTGCCCTGCCACCATGACGGCGGCCAAGGCCTGGGCCTGTCCCTGCCCTCATTTGTGCCCTGGCAGGGGCTCTCCCAGGTCCCTCCTGCACTACAGGCACCTGCAGCCAAGCCCTTGCTCCTGTCTCTTCCCTGTACCATGGACTGCATGGATCCTAGAGACAGGGGGAGGTTGCATGTGGGCACACAACAGGGGCAGCTCTGCAGGGTCCAGGCCCTTCCCTCCTGCAACTGCCCCTGCATGGGGGGTGCAGCCCCCGGGGTCACAATCCCATCCTCCCCAGGAGACACGGCAGAAGCAGCAGCTGCTGTGATCCTGCAGCCCCGCTCAGCTCTGCCTACCTGCAGAGTGCTGCCGCGGGGCAGTGGGAGGCCTGATGAACGGCCGCGTGCCCCAGGACACTACCAGTCATACCCCCACCCCCGGGCGCTGTGGGGATGGTGCCGCCCTGATTCCCAGCTCTGTCCTTTGCATTTCAGCGGCACTAGAAGAGCCGGCCTCGCAGTGAGGAGCAGCTGCGGCCGCCCCAGATGGATGCAGGCGGCTTCTCCCTGCACTTCTGGCCCACAGGCCAGTGCTGCTCACCCCAGCAGCACCGGATCCTGCACTTGAGGGCTGTGCGGGAGGATGCTCCTGAGAGCACTAGGACGGGGACTGGGAGCTGGGGCCCCTGTGGTTCCTGCAGAGAACCCGGAGCCCTGGGGGCTGTCTCCATGGGTCCCCTGTCTCCTTGCGCCTGCCAGGACAGGCCTCCTCCCCTCCTTGCAGGGGCTGACGCTGACCGTGTGCCTGTTCAGAGAGCCAGGCTAGGGGCTATATGGTGCCAGCGCGCAGGTCTCTTCCGCTGCCAACGCCACCTCCACCTCCCCTCCATCCCCACGCGTGGGCTGGCAGCCAATGTCTGCGGCTCCACGGGAGCAGCTGCTGCCATGGCCCTGGGCTCACAGGGTGACTCAGCACCAAACGCCTGGTTTTTCTTACTCCCAAAGTCTATTTTTTCTTTGGAACATTCTCCCCAACAGCTGACCTAGCTCCCGGGGGTTGCACGCTAGCAAGGGACCTGGGTCTGACCTGCCACCCCCCCCTGCCAGAGCCTAAAGCTGGCTGCACCCTCTACCTGCTGCTCTCCGCTGAGGGGCACCTTGGCACCTGGAAGCAAGCATCTATCACCAATAACAGGCGCTTTCCTTGCTTATCATCATCCGCAGGAGGGTTGCTCCGGGCACAATGCCAGGGTCTTGAGGGTAGTTGTGTTTCCCTCTGGGCTGTCGTCACACGTGTTGCCAGGCACTGCCTATAAAGTAGGTGCTTTTCTAAGCTGCTTGCAACAGGAGTGGTTTGTGCTGGTGACCCTCGTGTTACTGGGGGCCTCGGGGCGTGGCACTGTCTCCCCTGGGCCCGGCTCCTCCAGCGCGGCTCAGTCTCCACATCCTCCCTCAGCTGCAGGGCAGGGGCAGGCTGCGACATGGACGCTCTTACCTGGCGGAGCATGGAAGGAGAGCGTGGCTTTTCCCCAGGACCAAGGGAAATGCTGCCCAGGGCAGAGCTGGCAGCGAAGGGCATGGATGTGGTTGTGGTCCCCAGTGTGGGCAGGTTCCTGATGAGCTGCATCTTCCTGGGGCCAAGCAGAGCTCCTCTCCCTCTGCTCCAGCAGCACTCGGGGAGCCAGTAAAGCCTCCTTACGCAGATGCCCCTTCCTCCCGAGCCCTCTCCTCCCACCCCTGCCGGGAGCTGCCCCCACGGCCCAGTTTCAGGGCGCTTGGCGGCTGGGCCTGCCACGGCGTGCACTTTGTATTTACCACCCCCTGGCCTGTGCACCCGGCGCTCAGCACAGGTGCCGGAAGGATTGGTGCCAGGCTGGGGAAGCGTGGAAGAGCCAGGGGGGGCCCAGGCCCTGAAAGGCAGCCGCTTGCACACCGGCAAGCCAGGGCCTGTCCCCGAGGCGCGAGGAGCCGTCTCCTGCCAGCCCTTTCGCATGCCTGCCGGCTGCTTTGTTCCCTGCGGAAGCTCCACTCCGCCACGGCGGGGACGCCCTGCCTGGCTCTGCCCCGGGGTGCCAGGTGAGCGAGGTGTCCCACCGCCCCCCTGACCCGGACGGGCATGAGAAAACGAGGCTGGGCCTGTCGTTGCCCTCCTGTCCTTCCCAGCTGGCAGCTCCGTGCCCAGCAGGAGAGGGCTGAAGCCCCGTCTCCTGGCACCAGGGCTTGGAGGCAGCCGGCTGGTCCGGGCTTGGCGGAGGGGAGCGTCCGAGGCCCCCTTGTTCCCTTGGCTCTGAGGTCCCACAGCCCGTGCTGCTGGCAGGACGATCCTCGCGGAAGCTGCCCCACGTCCCAAGCAGCCACGGGGCACCCTTCCTTCCCCCCGGCCGGCAGGGAAACTCGGCTGGGAGCCCAGTCCTCCCCCGCAGGGAGCCGGGAGTACTCCCGCTTCCTCTCCAGATAAGGGCCCGGGCGCGAGCTGTTTATGGCCGTGGAGCCGCTGCCCGAAACTGGGGCCTCACCTGGCCGCAGCCCCGGAGGTGCTGGGCAGGAGGGGGAGCGCCAAGGCCCCGGGACAAAGGGAAGAGCTCGGCTCGTTGCCCCTCCGGCCGAGGGGGGCTCAGATGAGCTGGCCCCCTGCCCCTCGCGCCGGCCCTCGGCCCTGGGAAGGGGGGCCCATCCATGAGCCTTTACTTCCATGCAAGCAGCACCAGCCGCCTGCTCCGTGGCCCGTGGGGGGCGTGGCGGCGGGGCGAGGGCCGGGCCGCCCGGCGGAGCACGGCCTGCTGCCGGGGGCTGCAGGGCGGGGCAGGACGAGGAAGGCACTGAGCAGGAGGCGCCGGCTCCAGGCCGGGGAGCAGCTGGGGGGGACCCTGCCCCGCTGCCCCTTCCCTCA